GGACTAAAACGGTTGCAGTGTCCGCTGACTGGGCCAACCGCCGTCGCGCGTGGGCACCCACTGACGCTCGGTTTACTCACCTTCCCTCCGGCTCAGCTCGTCGCGCGCCGGCCGCCGCCTTCACTCCTTTTCACCTGTGCCGGCTCCATCCGCCCCAGACGAGCCCGAGGCACGGATGTAAGCGAACGGCGACCGCCTGGCCGGTAACGGGCGCCGTCCGCCAACACAGCCGGCGGTCCTGAACGAGAGAGCCGTAGGGGTCCGGCGTCCCTCGTGCCTGTCTGCTGACGCCCCCAGCACGCTCCCCTCCCCCCAGCCCCGCAGCCGCCAGGCAGCGGAAACGACTGTCGTCCAATAAAAGCCGCGCGGTCGCCCGCCCCGTCACCTTGGTGTCTTCGGCGCGCGGGTCAAGCAACCGCGGCCCGTTTTGACAACGAGGCAGCGGTCCGGTGACGACACATGCGACCGCCAGCGCCTCTCTTGTTGGCTGGAGGGCCGGGGTGCGTGCGGCTCTCGTGATTGGGCCCATCTCGGATTGCCGACTACCCAGTCTGGCTTGTTCTAGAGCAGGTGTCGCGGTGGCCGGCATCTCTGTAGTCGCTCAGACGAGCGTCAAGGTCCGACTGAAGCCCCACGTGTACAGCATTAATGCCGGGGTGCAGAGCGGTGCCGCAGGGCCGCGTTGCCGGGCGGCGGGCTTCAGTCGCCCCGCGGCGGCGGCGGCGGCGGTCTATGGCAGGCCGGGTGGAGACAGGTGCCGGGTGGGCGCGGCCCCGCGTGGGTGGAGCCCCTCCTATCGTCGGATCGGTCTGGATTCTGAATGGCCTTTGGACGGTCGGGGCCTGCGGTGACAACGCCGTCCGAACCATATATGGCTGGGCCGCGCTGGCCAGCGCTGGCCGCTTACAGGGGTGTCCGACCTGCGGTGCGACCACCTGTTCGGCACACCGACGAGGGCTGTTTGACCCGTGGTGGGCTGCGTTGCTTGTTTATTGTGCAGCGCTTTTATGCCGCCAAGCAGGCTCTGGTCAGGACCCTGGTTCGCTTTCTGCGCGATTTGCGGAGAAGACCTGGGTTGGTAGGTTTTACCCTGGCAGTCGAGGTGACCCAGTTACCCCACCGTGGTGGCCGTCCCGGACTGTCCTGGTAACAAGCCCTTTGACCGTGGTATCAGCAGTGGCGCCACCTAGCCTGGCCTCGTCGCCCGGCCGGTGTGAGGAACGCGCTCCTGTTGGTCCCAACCGCCTCCGTCCGAAGTCCCATCGCGGATGGCGAGGTCAGCAACCCCTGACCGCGCCAGCCCTGGGCGACTCCAGGCTGGGTCGTCCCCCGGGAGGCCGCCGTCCCCGGCGTGCCCCCATCCCCCGTGCCGGCGCGTGCTGCTCGTCCGTGCACGGCGTGTCGTCACCGGATGTGCCGAGCGCGCCGGCCCGGTGACACCGGTCGCCGGGCGCCTGCCGCCGGTCCGGCCGGTCCGGCGGCAGGCGCGCCAGGTATGCGCGCGGCCGCCGTGTTCGCCGCCGGCCGGCCTGCAGCAGGCCATTTGCGGCGGCTGCTGAGTCAGCCGGCGGACGCGGCCGGGCCGCTTATAAGGAGACGCGCGTCCTGCACTGACCGCGTCAATCGGACGCGGTCGCTTCTGCCGCCCCGCCCCGCACCGCCTCGCAACGGGGCCGACCCGGCGCGCCAACCGCGCCAAACGGCCGGAGCCGGAGCGGGCCGGCGCGGCGGGCGCGGCGCAGTGGCCGGCCGCGCCGCCGCGCCGCCGCGCGCAATAGCTGGAGCGGCGGTGCGGCCGTGATCGGGCATGTGAAGCGCGCGGCGGTCTGGTGCTGGCGGCAGCGGTGGGGAGCGGACGCGGCCCGCTGCAGGCGCTGGGGTGGAGGCCGTGGCTGTTCAACAACCACGAGGGAACAGCCGGGACAGACCCCTTCCGCCGTGGCGTGGAACATGGAATACATTTTTGCCATGCAAGCTTCCGTTGCGTTTCTAGCAGTATTCTGTCCAATAATCCTCAAATGGTGTTTAACAACAGACTGCATGCGAACAGACGCCTGACGCTGGCGCTGAGATGAGCTTGTGATATAAGCGCTTCTTGCATGTTTGATGGTTATGTTGTTTTTATGTTGCGTTGCCGTTCTTCATTCTTCTTTGCGTTATTATTACGGCATCGGTCGAGAATGACGCCGTATGCAGACTGTGTTGTAAACAGTGTTTTTTGCATTGAAAACCTCCGTGTGCGGTTTGAACGGTTTGTCCCGTGGTCATCGTTTTTGTCTCCGTTTTTGGCGACCGTTCGACTCAGGTGACGCGCGTGCTGACGTGTCATTTGTCTTTTCAGAGGGAGAATATTGAAATGTTCCTGAAAGGCTGTGAAGCGTACGGCCTGAAGCCACAGGACCTGTTTCCAGGTCAACGACCTCTATGAAAACAAGAACCTCTACATGGTGAGTTGGTTCATGCGCTGGTTTTCATCATGTCAGTTGAGCATTAATGCCCTCTCACGCACGAGGAAATTCGCCACTGGCCTTGGTAACGCCCTAAAGAACACCGAAAACACCGCACTCTGACACTGAATGTGCCAGCTAGATGCGCTTTTTGCACGTTTGGCGACTGTCTGCAGACTCACGCAGAGCATGGTCCGATATTTCATCACCCGGCGCCGGTGAATGAGCCGTAGTGCATGACGTCACCTGCAGCCACTCAAAGCAGCGCCTGCCTCTGCAGAACGGCCCCAGCCTGACCCCTCGCACGTGCTCCCGTACACGGCCCATTCAGTGCGGCCTCGTCCGCTGCGTTCAGCAGCCTTCGCTGCGCGTCGAGGACCGCTATCAGCTGCACAACACGTCTGACCTTGCGTATCGCCCCGGGCCAGCGCCGACGCGAGGGGGGTCTGCGCGCGGTGCGGGCGCTCCGAGCGGCGGTGCGACCAGCGCACCAGGCCGCCCTGTCCTGCCCCCCAGAGCCACGTATAGAACGCGACTGATGACGTAGGGTCCAGGCGCGACCATGCCCCTCCGCGGACCCCACCCGGCACCAAAGGCCAAATCACTGGCTGGGAAGTCGGGTACCAACTTTGAAAAGCATGAATGCCTGTCCCATTGGGGCACCGTCATTGTCCATGGCGCCGTTTGCATGGTTGGGCAGCGGCTGGCAGACACAGGTGGTGGCGCCTGCTGTACGTGCCGCCACTTCCCTCCGTGCTTTTTCAGTTTGACTCCAACCACCTATGACGTCAGAGTTTCGACACTGCATTTTGCCCGACGGCAGCGGCCGTCGCCAAGCCTCCCTTGGAACTGACGCAACAGCTTCCCCTTCCAGAGCAGTCCTCTGCTACGGAACACGTCATCTGTGTTGACGGATTAGGAGACGGTGCCCTCCGCCTGCGGAGGTCAGGACGTGCCCTCCGCCCGCGGAGTCAGGACTGTCAGATCCGTGCCCTCTGCCTGCGGAGGTCAGGACTGTCAGCTCCCGTGCCCTCCGTCTGCGGAGTCAGGACTGCCAGCTCCCGTGCCCTCCGCCTGCGGAGGTCAGGACTGTCAGATCCGTGCCCTCCGTCTGCGGAGTCAGGACTGTCAGCTCCCGTGCCCTCCGTCTGCGGAGTCAGGACTGTCAGCTCCCGTGCCCTCCGCCTGCGGAGTCAGGACTGTCAGCTCCCGTGCCCTCCACCTGCGGAGTCAGGACTGTCAGCTCCGTGCGCTCCGTCTGCGGAGTCAGGACTGTCAGCTCCCGTGCCCTCCGTCTGCGGAGGTCAGGACTGTCAGGTCCCGTGCCCTCCGTCTGCGGAGTCAGGACTGTCAGCTCCCGTGAGCTCCGCCTGTGGAGGTCAGGACAATAACCGCCCATACCTCTGCCATACGCTGCGCCAGCTAGTCCCACAGCGCAGTCGGCTGCTGCCACGTCGGCGGTTGCGTCAGCCGCGACGATGGCTCGCCACTCGCGCCGGCGGCGGCCTCCGGCGGCCAGCACGCGCAGGAGGCCGCTGGAGGCCGCCTGCCGCCGGCTGACGGTTTGACGGCGGCCTCAGCCGCGCGACAGGCGCCGGGCGAAGTGACGCGATGGCTGAGTCATTCTGTCCGGTCGTCGCGCCGTTCAGGTCGACCTTTGAACGGCCGGAAAACGGCGAAAGGCGTGACATTTTGCGATGTTGCTTGCCATGGTAAAGCCCTGAATGGTAGATCTGGACACCTGAGTTGTTCTGGACATAGCGAGGGAAGGTGGGGAAAGGTATAAGACAAAGCTCACTTTCACCCACAGCATTCCCGAAAACCGTGATCTGAGCAGACCAACACCCGACACTTCACTGGACCGCTAGACCATCTTGATCCGTCCTCATGTACCCGGTTTACATGGGCAGCCGAGGATAATTCGAATTAAGATCGGAACGGATCATGCGACGTTAACCCTCTCGGAGAGGGGCGTTTACATGGGCGAAAGCGGCTTTACGCCGGATTAACGGTCGATAGTTCGATCCCGCTTAGTTCGAATCAAGGAACGGATTATGGGCGAAAACTGCGCTTTTGAGGCGAACTGAACAAAACAAGAAGAAAAAAAGCCGGCACTCTGCGTATGGATGGCGAATGTCACGAGCCATGGTGGGCGCGAGACAGCTTTGAGGGCGAGGAGAAAGATGGACTCCGTTGAAAAAATGACATGTGCGGGCCCCCTAGGCTTTATAGCTACAGCACAAGCCATAGCACTTGAAACACAAGAGTTGCGCAGTCGGCACTGCCAAATCTGTCACATAAGCAGTGTTATATGCAAATTTTTACTAGCGGGAAACTTTGGCTAGGAGGAAACCAGTATTTTCTTGTATTGGCCAATGACACTCACAAACTTACCACACTCATATCAGTATGCCAACCAGCATCATGTCATCTACTTTGCACAGCTCAAGAAACACATTACCTTCCCACACTAATGCATTTATGAGCAGCCTGCAACAGTGAGCTAAGCTACATAAATGACTCATGAATGCTACATAGTTAGTGGCAAAAATTGTGTAACTATGTTGTCTTTCCCCATCCAATGCGTCATCAGTACCTGAGGGCAGGATTGCCATTTAGACTTGGCATGCACTGGCAAGTCAGCATGCAGCTATTTGCTTTCTTGACATACTAGGGTTGAAATACTGTTTTGATATCCTTGCAGTCAACAGCATTGGCTGATATGGACTGATGGCTAGGTGGCACAAACAGCTGGGTTTGCACAGTCCAAAGATCATAACATGTGAACCAGCCCCAGAGCTGTCATGACAAAAGCAATCTGGGCTCAAAATTCATAACAATGATTAATTATAACAACAGCTCAATTATCCACCTCATGGGTTGCAAAGATACATGTCACAAAAAAGCACCAAGGAAACATATTTACTCACCAGTACAAAAACAGGTAATGACGTGCACCACAGATGTTCTCTGCACATCATGCGACATTATGTTAGGTTTACTTAGTTTATGCAGTTTTCTTCCACATGGAATGCACAAACCTGGATTTGACAGAGTACTGATGACAGCTGTTTTCATCCAGTGCTCACATTTGCTTTCTTGACATTCTGGAACCATCACTGGGCAATTTTGGTCCCATCATTAAAAATAGTTCACATTCTGCACTGACTGCAATGATCTATTGCCTATATTTGTTGATCCTTTGCATCATGCAGGAGTTATTGAGTTACCTATCTCACACACCTTAAACTGACAAGCAGCAAACAGCTTAATCACATCAAAAACAAATATTCCAGCCCCCGCCTCCTTGCCAGTTGGTCTACCAGTGTGATGTAACTTCATATTTCCTTGACGAGCCAGTCACCAATATCCAGCACATCCCTCCTGCTGATAGGTGGTCAACCAAATGTTCAAGTCACAGGAGGGATGTCTGCAAGATCAATCCTGGGGCATTTATGTATTCACTTAATGAAAGAAACTATTGGTACTCCCTGCAAGAATTGTTGAACAGTTGAATTACTTACCTCATGGCCTACAAAGACACCTGTCACAAAAAAGCACCTAGGTGACATATTTAATCACCAGTACAAAAACAGGTGATGATATGCAACACAGACGTGTTCTCCATGCAGCATGTGACATCGTGTTAGGTGTTAGTTTATGCACTGTTTTCCCGCACATGAAACACACAAACTTGGATTTGGCAGAGTAATGATGACAACTATTTTCATCCAGTGTTCACATTTGCTTTCTTGCTGCTTTGACCCCGTCATTGGGCAATTTCGGTCCTACCATTAAAAAAGTTCACATTCCGAGCTGACTGCAATGATCTATATTTGTTCATCCATCATATCATGCAGCAATTTTTAAGCTAGCTTTCTCACACAAATTAAACTGACAAGCAAACAGCATCCTAATTTAAGGAACATCTGCAAAAACACTCCTGGGGCCTTTAGGCATTAACTTAATGAAAGAAACTTTGAGGCATTCTCTGCAAGAATTTTGAGCAATCCAAAAATTAAAGTGAGAACAAGTCAAAGCTATATAAAATTACCATATTACCTCCGTCCGGCTTCCGGAAGCATGGAGCCTGCCCCAGATGTAAATTAATCTAACCTTTAGGCGGAAAGATAACACCAAACACCGCCGACGCCTGCTGTCTGCATAGATCAAGCGCCTAGCAAGGCTAAATTACGTGAGCATTTCTGTGCTGCTAGCCACTCAAGGCCCTCAATAATAAGAGTAGTTTTAGCAGCATGGTGTCAACTTCACCTTCTTTCTCTTTTCCTTTACCATCTTGACCTTGGACCGTCTCGAGCAATAGCTGAAAACCCGTGGAAAAGCGGCAACACCAAACAAAGCTGAAATGGCCATGAACGGACCTGCGTGCGCCAGGCATTTTTCTTTTTTTTTTTGTTTAGACAGCTGACGGCCGATAATTCGGACGAAATCCCTTCCTGAACGGATGATCCTCTCACGGGAAGGGATTTCCTCCGGCGCACGATTCGAATCAGCGGAACGGCGCGTGAGTTACCCGGTTTACATGGGCAGCCGAGGATAATTCGAATTAAGATCGGAACGGATCATGCGACGTTAACCCTCTCGGCGAGGGGCGTTTACATGGGCGAAACCGGCTTTACGTCGGATTAACGGTCGATAGTTCGATCCCGCTTAGTTCGAATCAAGGAACGCATTATGGGCGAAAACTGCGCTTTTGAGGCGAACTGAACAAAACAAGAAGAAAAAAGCCGGTACTCTGCGTATGGATGGCGAATGTCACGAGCCATGGTGGGCGCGAGACAGCTTTGAGGGCGAGGAGGGAGATGGACTCCGTTGGAAAAATGATCTGTGCGGGACTCATAGGCTTTATAGCTACAGCACAAGCCATAGCACTTGAAACACAAGAGTTGCGCAGTCAGCACTGCCAAATCTGTCACATAAACAGTGTTATATGCAAATTTTTACTAGCGGGAAACTTTGGCTAGCAGGAAATCAGTATTTTCTTGTATTGGCCAACGACACTCACAAACTTACCACACTCATATCAGTATGCCGCCCAGCATCATGTCATCTACTTTGCGCAGCCCAAGAAACACATTACCTACTCCCACACTAATGCATTTATGAGCAGCCTGCAACAGTGAGCTAAGCTACAGAAATGACTCATGAATGCTATATAGTTAGTGGCAAAAATTGTGTAACTATGTTGTCTTTCCCCATCCAATGCATCATCAGTACCTGAGGGTAGCATTGCCATTTAGACTTGGCATGGACTGGCAAGTCAGAATGCAGCTATTTGCTTTCTTGACATACTAGGGTTGAAATACTGCTTTGATATCCTTGCAGTCAACAGCATTGGCTGATATGGACTGATGGCTAGGTGGCACAAACAGCTGTGTTCGCACAGTCCAAAGATCATAACATGTGAACCAGCCCCAGAGCTGTCATGACAAATGCAATCTGGGCTCAAAATTCATAACAAATGATTAATTATAACAACAGCTCAATTATCCACCTCATGGTTTGCAAAGATACATGTCACAAAAAAGCACCAAGGTAACATATTTACTCACCAGTACAAAAACAGGTAATGATGTGCACCACAGATGTTCTCTGCACCTCATGTGGCATTATGTTAGGTTTACTTAGTTTATGCACTGTTTTCTTCCACATGAAATGCACAAACCTGGATTTGACAGAGTACTGATGACAGCTATTTTTATCCAGTGCTCACATTTGCTTTCTTGACATTTTGGAACCATCACTGGGCAATTTTGGCCCCATCATTAAAAATAGTTCACATTCTGCACTGACTGCAATGATCTATTGCCTATATTTGTTGATCCTTTGCATCATGCAAGAATTATTGAGTTACCTATCTCACACACACTAAACCGACAAGCAACAAACAGCCTAATCGCATCAAAAACAAATATTCCAGCCCCCGCTTCCTTGCCATTTGGTCTACCAGTGTGATGTAGCTTCATATTTCCTTGACGAGCCAGTCACCAATATCCAGCACATCCCTCCTGCCAGTAGGTGGTCAACCAAATGTTCAAGTCACAGGAGGAATGTCTGCAAAATCAATCCTGGGGCATTTATGTATTCACTTAATGCAAGAAACTATTGGTACTCCCTGCAAGAATTGTTGAACAGTTCAAGTACCTACCTCATGGCCTGCAGACACCCATCACAAAAAAGCACCAAGGTGACATATTTAATCATCAGTACAAAAACAGGTGATGATATGCAACACAGACGTGTTCTCCATGCAGCATGTGCCATCACGTTAGGTGTTAGTTTATGCACTGTTTTCCTGCACATGGAACACACAAACTTGGATTTAGCAGAGTAATGATGACAACTACTTTCATCCAGTGTTCACATTTGCTTTCTTGCTGTTCTGACCCCGTCATTGGGCAATTTCGGTCCTACCATTAAAAAAGTTCACATTCCGAGCTGACTGCAATGATCTATATTTGTTCATCCGTCATATCATGCAGCAATTTTTAAGCTACCTTTCTCACACAAATTTAACTGACAAGCAACCAGCATCCTAATTTAAGGAACATCTGCAAAAACACTCCTGGGGCCTTTAGGTATTAACTTAATGAAAGAAACTTGGAGGCATTCTCTGCAAGAATTTTGAGCAATCCAAAAATTAAAGTGAGAACAAGTCAAAGCTATATAAAATGACCATATTACCTCCATTTGGCTTTTGGAAGCATGGAGCCTGCCCCAGATGTAAATTAATCTAACCTTTAGGCGGAAAGATAACACCAAGCACCGCCGACGCCTGCTGTCTGCATAGATCACGCGCCTAGCAAGGCTAAATTACGTGAGGATTTCTGTGCTGCTAGCCACTCAAGGCCCTCAATAATAAGGGTAGTTTTAGCAGCATGGTGTCAACTTCACCTTCTTTCTCTTTTCCTTTACCATCTTGGACTTGGACCGTCTCGAGCAATAGCTAAAAACCCGTGGAAAAGCGGCAACACCAAACGAAGCTGAAATGGCCATGAACAGACCTGCGTGCGCCAGGCATTTTTCTTTTTTTTTTTGTTTAGACAGCTGACGGCCGATAATTCGGACGAAATCCCTTCCTGAACGGATGATCCTCTCACGGGAAGGGATTTCCTCCGGCGCACGATTCGAATCAGCGGAACGGCGCGTGAGTGTATACATGGGCCGGATAGTTCGGATCGAGGACGGGTCCCGGCTCAATTCGAATCACAGCTGCCCATGTAAACAGGGTAAGTGTATACATGGGCCGGATAGTTCGGATCGAGGACGGGTCCCGGCTCAATTCGAATCACAGCTGCCCATGTAAACAGGGTAACCGACAGCTGTCCGGGAGGGGGCTCCACCACCCACCGTTCCGCCGCAGCCGGCTGCCTGCCCGCCCGGCGCCGGCGTGGCGGGCCCGCCGAGCCCGCCCGCGTCGTCCCGGCGTCACGTCCGTCAGGCCGTGCCGTGACGTCAGGCCGTGCTCTGTGACTGCGGCTCGTGTTACCGGCGGCCGGCGGCCGGCGGCCGTCACGCGGCCGAGGAGCGCCGATGTTTGTCGGGCTCGCGTTACCGAGCCGCCGCCGCGCCGCCGTCAGCCACTGATCGGGCCGCTCTGTTTCAGGTGGTCGACTGTCTGTACGCGCTCGGCGGGAGTGGTGAGTGGGCGGGGCCGGAGGCAGGTCCTCTGGTGGTCACGCCGAGGGGCGGCTGGGGGGGGGGGGGCGGGGGGGGGGGGGGGGGCTCGGGTATGGAGTGGTGGTGTTGTGCTGGGAGTTATCTGCAGGTACGAAATCGTGGCGTGTGGCCGATGCATGAACGTGTGGTATGAGGAGATGACTGGTCAGAGGGGTCAGCTGCGGCCTTGGCATGATGCCGGGATTTGGTCCGGTATCAGCCGGATACAACCGTGCCGTACGCTAAGGGGCGTTGGTAGGGACAAGCTCGTTGACGGTTTTGCTGCTTGCATCGTGTCTGGTCAAGGTAACTCTGTAGTCCATAGTCGGAATGACAGGATGGCGGAGGAGGATCCGATGAAGTTTTCTCGTTCACGTCTTTGCTTCACAAACTGGTACTGACCAGCGATGACAGTGGCGAATCATTAGACAGCTCGCAGAACCTATTGCGCCCACTGATGTTAATAATACTGTGAATGCTTCCTGGCGTATCAATCATGGAGCACGGGCTCATGGCGCACGACACTAATAAATGCCTATGCGATGTGGCGTGCAGGCATTGTACTGCCTACCATGTGCTGTACTTGGCAAATTGTTGTAGTAATACCACGCGATGGTGTGGTTTCGATAATGGAAGCGTCCCAATCACTCACATCAGCATATTGATGTCTCACGCAACTCCGAGGTGACTTTCATTGGGCCGCTGCCTGTGCTGTGCCATCCTCCTCCGTGGGAGTGACCGACTGCTCCCCGTCCCCAGGCTCAGAAGAAGGGCTTCGACGGCCCAGTGCTGGGTGTGAAGGTGGCCAACGAGAACAAGCGGAACTTCAGCCAGGCCGTGCTGCGGAAGGGCGAGCAGGTGATCGGCCTGCAGTACGGCAGCAACCAGGGCGCCAACCAGTCCGGCATGACCGCATACGGCGCCGGCAGACAGATCCTCCCCAACGGACGCTAGGCGGCGCCACCGCCTTGCCGATAGGCGGCGCTGCTATCGGCGTTCGGCGACGCCAGCCCGTGACGGTCAACAGCATGTGATTGAATACCGATGTGTCGGCACATTCCGGTTATATGCATGTTCGTCCTCGCGCAGTGAAGCGCGGGAGGCGTCTTGTACCGCCGATCACCAGCCACGAGAAGTTTCATCGGGAGCAAAGCTCTTTGCCGTTTTACAAATGTGAGATTGTATGCCATAGGAATAGTGTCAACGTATTAGAATATACAGTTTTTCATGGAGTTTTTACGGACTCGTGTCTTCGCAATACGCTTTATTAATATGCACTGTTCCCGCTTCGTCGTTTGGAATTTCGGAGGGCGCATTTTGGGAGTGAACCATGGCTGGAGCTCAACCACTCAGCTTTCTCCCAGCCGCTCGGGCTTCGCGTAAATACAGATGGCGTTTGTGACTTGGAGCTTTCCTTCGAAGCAGGAGACAAACCAGGATTCCATGGAGTCACAGTTTTGAATATTTCCACGCGCAGAGTGGAGGCTGGAGCGCGAAATGGACGGGAAGCCGATAGCCCTTGGTGCAGGTGTTTGAGTGACCAACGGAATGGTCGGAAGCATTTGGAAACCTGGATTTAAAGGAGTCCGGTATCCCAGTCAAAGCCTGCCCTGCGGAATGCTCCTACTCTGATATGGCTTCCCGTGTAGAACCCCATTGCAGCACTCTCCCTTGTCAGTGACGCGGTAGATGTTAAAATAACTGATTTGATCTCTATAACAATGAAGACTGGGAAAGCCTAGAACAAGCGCTTACCCCTTTATGTGCTCCAGTATGCACTTGGCCTTTGTGTGGGGCCCCTTTGAGGCTCCAAGGCGTGAAGGCCAGGCGCGGTTACCCTCTGCGCCCGCGACGAGCCCGGCGTCTGAGGTGGTTACGACAGGTTCCGGCGAACACCATCCTTCCGCCGAACCACGCCACCCTTCCGCGGTGAACCACGCCACCTTTCCGCGGCGAACCACGGCACCCCTACGCCGAACCACGCCACCCTCCCGCGGCGAACCACGCCACCCTTCCGCGGCGAACCACGGCACCCCTACGCCGAACCACGCCACCCTTCCGCGGCGAACCACGTCACCCTTCCGCGGCGAACCACGGCACCCTTTCGCCGAACCACACCACCCTCCCGCGGCGAACCACGTCGCCCTTCCGCGGCGAACCACGTCGCCCTTCCGCGGCGAACCACGGCGACCTTCCGGCGAACCACGGCACCCTTTCGGCAAACCCCGCCACTCTTCCGGCGAACTACGGCACCCAAACACGCCTGACAAAACTCGGGTTGTATAACATAACATATAAACTGGCTACCATTAACAAACAAGGCTGGCTATATCACAAGCGCCGTTGTCAGCAAGGACCTAAAAACATTCGCATCTCAACACTCAGAGGTCGCAGTTCGCCGTCCACCATTCAGCGCCACCAGCCAACCCCGCAGGAGCGGAGGGCCGAGCGGCGGAGGGCCGCGCTGGACGCGCCGGAGACCCAGGCCGGCACGCGCCACACCAGCTGCGGCGCCCCGACGGCGGCACCGGCTGCCATGGGTCAGCAGCCGGGGGCCGGAGCGGTGACCCAGCTCCCGGCCGACCCTGAGGGCAGCGGCCCGACGCCCGGCCGGCGGCGCCTCAGCGCCACAACGACGTCTCAGCACCTCGGCATGGCACAGCGCAGCGTGGCCGTAAGGCACTGCCAACGGCCACCGATCGAGGTTCCGCGACCGGCGGCCCGCCTCCACGCGACGTCCCGCCCGGCGGCACTGACGAGGCACCACTACCGCCGCCGCCGCAGCCGCAGAGCGCCGTCAATGCGGCTTCGGCACGTGGCCGTCCACGTAGAAGTTGCGCGTGGCGGCCGGCAGCGTGAGCTCCACCCCCTCCAGCTCCTTGGTCAGGATGATCTGACAAACCCTGCAGACGGAAGCAGCGCGGCCGCCGGTCAGCGCGCTGGCCGGTAACGACTACCCCCGCCCCCCTCAGCTGGGCGCGCTGACATGGCGGAGGGGGGGGGAGGGGGGGCTGGAACAGCCGCAGCGTTACGCAACGCGCTGACGGACGTCGCCACGCATCTGTGACTTGGAATACCTCCCGTCTGGCACGTCCAGTCTGCGCCGCGAGACAGCGGCAGCACTGCCACCAGTATATGAGAATGCAAGCAAACAGTCTGGAATAGAATCAGGAGACAGATATGCAAGAGCACCACGAGAAACGGGCCAAAGCACGCGCATATAACGATATTTGGAGTTCTGCTAACCAACGTACCGATAAGCACGACACCCTCTTGACAGGTAAAGAAACCACAAATTAAAGTCACTCTGTCCGCTAAGGTGGCGACTTTGCAGGGCCACCTCGGCAGCCACAAAGACATCATGCAAACATATCATGTGCAGAACGCCACGACGTAATCGACGACATCTTGAAGAGCGTATTTACGAAATGATTTTTTGCCTAGAAAAGTCTTGGTACTTAAAAGCAACACCAACTGCTACAAGCCAGCTTTTTCATCATACATGATGCTTTGCCTCAATACCTTCAATGTGTGACATTCCCTTCAAATAAAGACGATATTTCCTGCTCGGTAGACAGGCACTGACGAAGGCTCGTGGGAATCAGTGAAAACACGTCATGGTGCAACACTGCCATGCGATGCATAAATGTCACAACCGAGACGTGGGGAACATCAAAAGACAATACTCAGGGATTTCGAGAGCGAGGTGAGGCCCTCCATCTAGCCTCCATTCAGGAACTACAAGTATGGCAAGACGACACGACATATCGTGGCGCTGAGTACTAGCCGGCGATGTTGAGTGGCCTACGTCACGACAGTAATGCTGTTACTCTGACAAGTGTAAGGCGGACATCACAACTGAGGTCTGTTAGGGCATTTTACGTGCGAATACCACTAGGTCATCCGAACACGTACTGTGGTAGATGTAAACCCAGGTCTCCACACAGCACG